CACTTTGTGGCAGTCCTTTATTAATTTCTCTAGAAAAGAATTTTCCAGTCTCCCACCTAAGAATATAAGTACAAATATTCCATGCAAGGGAAAGGAGAAGTAGAGGAATTAACTGCTTTATACCCACATCATCTATAATAACTCACACCTCCAAAGATTCAGCTTGTCTGGAGTTGTCTGTATTGAACTGTTTCCTCCGTTCCACATGAACCTGTTTATACTTTCAGTTGTGGCTTAATACACCCTGCTATATATAGTGGTAACTATGTATATTTATCACTCTTCCCTCCATTTCCTTTTTTTAACCTTCCAGCTATATTACAGACATGTAATTAATACAGAAGTTAACATTAAACAACGTGCTGACTTGACACACGTATATATTGCAAAATGACTACCAGAGTAAGTTACCTTATATCTCTATCCCCTCGTATAATTATCATTTTTGTATGTGGTGATAACATTTATGACCTACTCTCTTAACAACTTTCAAGTATATAATAAAGTATTGTTAATTATAGTGACCATGCTGTATATTAGATCTTCAAAACGTACTCATCTTATAGCTGTAAGTTCATATCCTTTGACCAGCATTTCCTTATTTCCCCCACCTCCCAGTCCCTGGCAACCACCATTCTACTCTATTTCTATGAGTTTGGGTTTATCGATTCAACATCTAAGAGACACCATGCAGTTTTTGTCTTTCTCTATCTGACTTACTTAACTTAGCATAATGTCCTCAAGGTCATTCCATGTTTTGCAAAAAGCAGGATTTCCTTGTGTCATGGCTGAAACGTAGATATATAGATATATACATATAGGTATATATAGATATAAGTTCTTTATCTGGTTATCTGTCAATGAACACTTAGGCTGTTTCTGTATCTTGGCTACTGTGAATAAAGCCTCCAGCTTTGTTCTTTCTTAGAATCACTTTTCTATCCAGGGTTTTTTGTGGTTCCATACAGATTTTAGAATGTTTTTTCCTATTTTTTGGAAAAATGCCATTGGAAATTTGATAGGAATTTCATATAATCTGTAGGTCACTTTGGGTATTATAGACATTTTAACAATATTAATTCTTCTGATCCATAAACATGGGATATCTTTCCATCTTTGTGCTTCTTCAATTTCTTTCATCAACGTCTTATAATTTTCAGTGTACAGATATTTCACCTCCTTGAATACATTTATTCCAAAGTATTTTTTTATGTTTGATGCTATTATAAATGAGATTGTTTTATTTCTTTTACGGGTAGTTCACTGTTAGTGTATAGAAATGCAACTGATTTTGTGTATTGATTTTGTCTCCTGCAACATTACTGAATTTATTTATTAGTTCCGGTTTTTTAATGGAGTCTTTAGGATTTTCTACATATATGATCATATCATCTGTAAATAGAGAATATTTTACTTATTCTCTTTCAATTTGGATACCTTTTATTTCTTTTTCTTGAATAATTTCTCTTGCTAGGATTTCCATTACTCAGTTGAATAGGAGTGGTGAGAGTGGGTACTCTTGTCTTCTTCCAGATCTTAGTGGGAAAGATTTCAGCCTTCCCCACTGAGTATGATGTTAGCTGGGGATCTGTCATATATGGACTCTATTATGTTGAGATATATTTATTCTATTCTAATTTGCTGAGAGTTTTACTGATGAAAAGATGATAAATTTTGTTAAATGCTTTTTCAGCATCTATTGAGATGACCATATAATTGTATCTTTTCTTCTACTAATGTGATATAGCACATTAATTGATTTGCGTATGTTGAACCATTCTTGCATCCCAGGAATAAATCACACTTGATCATGATGCATGATACTATTAATATACGGTTGATTTCTGCTTGCTCGTACTTTGTTGACAGTTGTTGCACCTCTATTTACCAGGAATACTGGCCTGTAGTTCTCTTTTCTAGTAGTGCCCTTAACTGGCTTTGGTATCAGGGTAAGACTCACCTTGTAAAGTAAATTTGGGAGTGTTCCCTCCTCTTCAATTTTTAGAAGAATTTGAGAAGAACTGATGTTAATTCTTCTCTAGATGTTTGGTGAAATCATCCAGTCCGGGGGTTTTCTTTGTTGGGAGGTTTTTGACTGTTTCAATCTCTTTACTCATAAATGATCCTTTCAAATTTCCTATTTCTTCCTGATTCATTATGGCTAGGTTGTCCAGGAGTGTGTTGTTTACTTTCCACACATTTATGAATTTTCTAGTTTTCCATCTGTTACTGACTTCTAGTTTCATACCATTGTGACCGGAAAACATATTTAATATGATCTCAATCTTCTTACATTTGCTAAGGCTTCTTTTGTGAACTAATGTATAATCTACCCTGGAGAATGTTCTGTGTACACTTGAGAAGAATGTGTATTCTGCCACTGTTGGGTGGAATAATCTGCATATGTTTTTTTAAGTCCGTTTGGCCTAAGGTTTAGTTCAAGTCCTGTGGTTCCTTACTGATTTTCTGTCTAGACGATCTATTCATTGTTGAAAGTGGGGTATTTAAGTCCCCTGTTATTATTGTATTGTTGTCTATTTCTCCCTTCAGAGCTGTGAGCATTGTTTAACATATTTAGGTTCTCTGATATTAGATGCACCTCCACTCTCTTTCTGCCAAAGATTTATTATGCCCTCTTCATTCTCATTATGAATTAATGAAAAGACAGTAAATATCAGCAGAGAAATAAAAACTATGTAGAACAACCAAATGTAGATTCTAGAACTAAAAACTATACTACCTGAAATAAAGAATTCATCATTTAATGCACTTAACAGTCAAATAGAGATAACAAAGGAAAAGAGTCAGTGAACTTGAAGATATATGAACAGAAATTATCCAGTTAGGAAAAAATCAGATTAAAAAAACAAACAAACATGAAAAACAGAGCCTGAGGAATATGGGGGATAATATCAAAAAGTCTAACCTAAGTAGAACTAGAGTCCTAGAAAAAAAGGAGAAATAACATAGTGAAGAAAAAATATCTGAAAGAACAATGGGTGAAAATTTCTCACATTTTATAAAAGACATAAAGTACCAGAGTCAAGAAGCTCAGTGAATCCCAATGTGAATATCATAGTCAAACTATTGAAAATCAAAGATCAAGAGAAAAATTTGAAAGCCATAGGGGAAAGAAAAACACCCATTCTATACTGTGGAAAAACAATACAAATGACTATTGATCTCTCATCAGAAACTACAGAGGCCAGAAAGCAATAGAAATGAAAACAAAATTGAAAAATTATCGACCTAGAATTGTAAATCCAGCAAATATCCTTCAGAAATTGTTATGTGCTGAACTGTGTCCCCTAAAAAGAAATGCTGAAGTTCTAAACATCTCAGAATGTGACGTTATTTGGAAACAGGGTCACTGCAGATGTATTCAAGATCAAGTTATACTGCGGCAGGCTGAGCCTTTAATCCAATATGATTGGTGCCCTTATAAGAAGAGGAGAAGACATACAGGAGAACATCAGGTGATAACGGAGCCATATATTGAAGTGCTGCAACTGCAAGCCAAGGAATGCTAAGATTGCTGGCAAAACACCAGAATAAAGGAAGACACAAGGAAGGATTCTCTCCTGCAGGTTTCAGAGGGCACATGACCCTGCTGACACTTTGATTTTGAACTTGTAGCCTCCAGACCTGTGAGACAGTAGATTTTTTTTTTTTTTATTAAGCCACCCAGTTTGTGGTGCTTTGTTATGGCAGCCCTAGAAAACTAATACAGGAATGAAAGCAAGAGGAAAACATTTTCAGATAAAAGAAAACTAAGGGAATTTAAGACCAACACACCTGCACTATAAAAGTGCTAAAGGAAGTTCTTCAGGCTGAAGGGAAATGATTCCAGATGGAAACTCAGATTCTCACGAATTAATGAATAAATGAATGAATGGCATCGAAAATGGAAAATAGTTTAGCAATTATAAAAGAAGAAAAGAGAAGCTGCTTTTTTAATACAGAGTGATCAAGAAGAGTATCTTTCATAAAGTGGCAGTTGTGTTTCAGACATTAGTGTTTATTTATTTAATACTGGTAGAGGTTTAAGAGACATACATGTAGTTAATATTTTAATCCTGAATTCTTACACAGATTTTATACTATTGTAAACATTATAATATATTCTAATATCTGGAAGGACAATATCTACCATGTTAATAATATTTCAAGAACCCCTTAGTCATTTTCAAATACAACATTCTTTTAGAAAGCCAATAACCTAAGACAGGAGCATTATGGTAGGCTTGCTAAATGTCTAGCACACTAAAAGATCACTCGAAATCATATATGCATCATTCTAAGATAGGCTGGTCAATGGATAAAGTAAATTTCAAGATAATCTTTAACATTATTTTTGAAAATAGCATTAACTTTTCTCCACAATTTTTTACCACATATCAGTTTGAGTTTTACATCCTTTACCAATGTCAATTTTTAGGTGATTATAAAAATGACCCCCAAATATCAAAAATATAAGTAAAGTTGGGAAGAAAAATAATCTAGGGTAGGAAGTAGTACTAGCTTCTTAGTATTTTATTAACCTAGTCTCCCAAAAAAGGTAAGTCATATATAAGCAAGGTTTCCTCCAAGGACCACCCCATCTCAATTGAAAAGGGCCAGAAATAGTTCTCATTTAAACTACTGGTTCAGTCCATTTTTCAACTGAACCAATAGTTTCAATTATAACTATGGTATCAACAAAGATGCCAATTTTCCATCTGACTTCTAGACTTTCATTACAACAAAGAATAATATTATACCAAAAAAGCATTACTTTTATGGAACCTATTTTTGGTTCAGAAGACAACTGCTAAAATTGGGGGAGAAAATTATAGGCATATATCCCTCTACACCTATTCTGTGGTCAATTTTAACAACTCACATAACTTATAAATAACTCCTCTCAGTCAACCCAAACTAAAGGAGATCTAAAAAGTAAACACCTAATAAATATATTACAGGGAGCCCAACCTGGCAGCATATGAAGATCCTGAACTCACCTCCTCCCGTGGACACACCAAATCTTCAGCTACATATGGATCATTTCCCTATGAAAAAGATCCGAAAATGAGATGAACTTTTTCTCCACAATAAAGGATAGAAGAACCACATCAAGATGGATAGCAAAGGCAGAGACATGGTCTTGGCAAAAACCACAGCTCAGTGCAGCAACACACAAGACGAAGGGATCTTACCAGTCCAGTGCTTCTCCTGGAGGAGGAAGGGGTTGGTGCCCCACATCAAGCACCTTAATCCCTGGGATCTGCACCAGAGAGACAAGCACTAAAAACATCTTGCTTAGAAAACTAAAGGGACACAAGGGACACAAAGTGCTGTAGGGAACCAAGATTCCCCTTTTAAAGGGCTAGCAGATGGGCTTACTCACCAAAGACCCAGCAAAAAAACAGCACTTTGAAAAGCACCTGGACTATATGTGAAGGATACTCATTTACTAATCTAAAAGCACCTGCAGGAGGGGCAGGAGATGCTTGAAACTCTCTCTCTGGAGTTAAAGGAAGTGGCAGATGCCATTATTGTATTCTCCACCTACCCTGCTAGCAGAGGCAGGCAAGTTTGGACAGCACCTTCCCACCACCTTGCTAAGACAGGCAGGGGCAAGCGGTCACAGCACTATTTTGTTGCCTTCCTGAAGCTGAAAAGCATGGGCAGTTGTAGCACACCCCTACTCCCTGGCTCGGATGGGACAGTAGAAGCAATTGTGGCATTCTCCCACTCCTGGCCTAAAACTGGCACACATCCACGGACAAGGCATTCTCCCACAGCACTGCAGAAACATATGCAAGTACCACACAGTCAAGATATTTTCTCACTGCTTTTCTGAAGCTGGTTAGCATGACTCAGCCCTTTTAGCTATTAGCTGCCTTTGCTAAAGCCAGCGGGTGCATGCAATCCACACAGGGGACACTACTTGATTACCTGACCTTGGTGGCCAAAGAGACTTGAGCTACAGAGCTCCACAGAACAGTAACAATCAGAAAGACAGTTCTTGGCAGGTCACCACTCTCAGGACACTACACAGACAGCAAACTGAAATACAACTCCAGTCTTCCTGTGAAAAAGGTCTATTTACTTAGCCTGGAGCTTCAGTCTGAGGGACAAGTTTCAGATTTCACATACATCCAGGGATAAGAAGGCACTCCCAGGTAATGTAAGCAGAAAGACACCAGCCCTGGGCATCCCTCTGGCCATGATACAGCTCAACAAGACCTCCGAGAAAGGAGATTATAAACTCATCTGGAGCCCTAAATTTTGCAACTGTCACCCAGGGGACACGTTCCAGATCTCTTGGACTGGTGGCCAGCAGGGATTACGATTCTGGTCCCAAAGGAATGTATACATTTGCATACTTTAAAAGCTGCTGCCTGAAGATTTGGTTGCCAATCAGCCTGAAAATAGGTGCTAAGTGATATTCCTCCCCTGGGCACACACTTACAGGCCTTGGTACACTCTCATCAATGAGGACACATCAAGAATAAATCAGGCAGTTCAGACAACTGCAAAGGTTTGAAAGACAACGAACAGCTAAGGCAAGGTTGAACAAGAAGGTTCATCACATCCACAAGTCCACACCTTCAAGACTGAGAGAGTTATCTGTTTCACCTAATATAAAGAAACAAATACAGAGAGTCAGGCAAAATGAGGATGCAGAGAAATATGCTCCAAATGAAAGAACAAGACAAAAACCTCAGGAGAAAAACTTTAATGATACAGAAGTAATCTACCTGAAAAATAATTCAAAGTAATGGTCATAGACATGCTCACCTAACTCAAGAGAAGAATGGATGAACACAGTGAGAACTTCAAACAAGGAGACAGTAAATATAGGAAAGCGCCAAACAGAAGTCACAGAGCTGAACAGTACAATAAATGAACTGAAAATTACACTAAAGGGGTTCAACGGCAGGCTAGATGAAATAGAAGAACAGATCAGTGAACTGGAAGACAAAGCAATGGAACTCACACAGAAAGAACAGTAAGATGAAAAAAAAATGTTTTTAAGAAAAATAAGGGACCTGTGGAACATGATCAAGTAAAATAACACAGGCAATATAGGTGTCCCAGAAAAACAAGAGAAAGAGCAAGGGCAAAACTATTTGAAAAAGTAATGGCTGAACCCTTCCCTAACTTAGGGAAGGAAACAGACATCCAAGTCCAGGGAGCCCAGCGAATTCCAATAAGATAAACCCAAAGAGATCCAACCAAAACATATTATAATAAAAATGTCAAAATTTAAGACCATCAGCAGATTTCTGAGAATAAACTTTGCAGGCCAAAAGTGAGTGGCACGACATATTCAAAGTGCTGAAATGAAAAAACTTACAACCAAGAATACTCTATCTGGCAAGGTTATTATTCAGAAATGGAGAAAAGATGAAGAGTTTTCCAGATAAGCAAAAGCTAAAAGAGGCCTCTACTAAACCAGCCTTATAAGAAATGTTATATGTCACTTCTCTAAGCTGAAAAAAAAGGCACTAATTAATATCGAGAAAACTTATGAAAGTAAAAACCTCGGGGGAAAGGGTAAAAATATAAGACGGTAGACCAACCATTCATAAAGCTACCATGAAGCTTAAAAGATAAAAGAAGTAAAATTAGCTAAAAATACATTGTGTTAAGGGAACACAAAATAAAAAGATGTAAAATGTGACATCAAAAACATAAAATGTGGTGGAGGGTAGTAAAAATTGTAGAATTGTGGAATGTACTCAAACCTAAGTTGCTATCAACTTAAAATAGGCTGTTATATACATAGGATATACATGTGAACCTCATGATAACTACAAAGAAAAAACTTATAGTAAATATACAAATAAAAATGAGAGAGAGAGAGGAGTCAAGATGGTTGTGTGGGAAGACCTGGAGTTAGTGTCTCCGCACAACTAGAGTGCCTGCCAGCTACTGGTGGAGGACTCTAACCCCCAAGGAGATGGGAGGATCCCCCCCCGCAAGTGAACCGGTAGGATGAAGAGGGACCGACGGAGGAGGACAAGTGGAGGCCAGACAAGATTGGTGTCCCTGAGGCTGGGAAGAACAGGAGAGGCAGGGGAGATCAGGAGAGGCAGGTGGGAGGGACTCTCTGGAAATAGCGGGAGAGGAGCAGAGGGCGATCACCTGTCCCACAGGGGCCAGGAGGCCTGATGAGCTCCCAAGCCAGTCCCCACCCCCCAACAAAGCCCTATCCAGGCTACATGGGTCCTGGGGGCATAGGAGGGAGTTCAGGGAGATCAGGAGTGGCAGGTGGAAGGGGCCATCCAGGAGGAGCAGGAGAGGAGCGGAGGGCAATTACCCTGCTCACTGGGGCCCAGGGAGCCTGCTGAGCTCCCAGGCTGGTCCCCTGCAATCCAAAGCCCCCTCCAGGCCATGTGGATCCTGGGGGCATAACAGGGAGGCTGGGGAGATCAGGAGAGGCAGGCAGGAGGGGCCCTCCCAGATGCCAGGCCAGAGAAGCAGGAGAGGAAAAAAGGGAGTTTGCCCTGCCCACTCAAGCCCAGAAAGCCTGCTGGCTCCCAGGAGAGGTCCCATATCCTCTGAGATGGGGGCGGGGAGGCGGGGGGGGAGGGGTGGAGAGCATGTGTGGGCCCCTTCTGTTCCTTGAGCCTAAGCCCCACCCCCCACAGCCCCCAGAGCCTTTTCCAGCCCTGTGGGTCCTGAGCATTGGCCCCACCCACCACCCAAACCTTGCCCTTGTTTAGGCCCCCACTCTCCACAGCCAAGGCTTTTCCCCCACCTCCTTTTCTTTTTTTTTCTTTTTCCCTCCTCTTTTTTACTATTGTGGTACGGATGTACCTTCTGATTGTTGATTCATCTATATTTTTATTTTTATATTCTTGCTAACATATCTGTTATTTTCCTACTCTAATTTTATTTTTTACTTTGTTATTGTTTTTTTTCTTTTTTTTGCCACCCCATGCGGCTTGTGGGATCTTGATTTGCAAGCATGAGGTCGAGCGGAAGCTCCTGCAGTGGGAGCTCCGAGTCCAAACCACTGGACTAACAGAGAACCTCAGACCCCAGGGAATAGTCATTAGAGTAAGGTCTCACAGAGTTCCTCATCTCAGCACCAAGACCCAGCTCTACCCAATAGCCTACAAACTCCAGTGTTGGAAGCCTCAGGCCAAACAAACAGTACAACAGGAACACAATCCCACTCAAAAAAAAAAAAAAAAAAAAAAAGAGAAGGCAAAAAAAAAAAAAAGGCACAGATGAAGGAGCAAGGTAAAAACCTACAAGACCAAATAAATGGGAAGGAAATAAGCAATCTACCTGAAAAAGAATTCAGAGTAATGATAGTAAAGATGATCCAGAATCTCGGAAATAGAATGGAAGCACGGGTGAAGAAAATAGAAGAAATGTTTAACAAAGATCTAGAAGAACTAAAGAACAAACAGAGGGCTTCCCTGGTGGTGCAGTGGTTGAGAGTCCGCCTGCCGATGCAGGAGACGCGAGTTCGTGCCCTGGTCTGGGAAGATCCCACATGCCGCAGAGCGGCTGGGCCCATGAGCCATGGCCACTGAGACTACACATCCAGAGCCTGTGCTCCACAATGGGAGAGGCCGCGGTGGTGGGAGGCCCGTGTACCACAAAAAAAAAAAAAAGAAAGAAAAAAGAGAAATGAACAACACAATAACTGAAATGAAAAATACACTAGAAGGAATCAATAACAAAATAATGGAAGCAGAAGAACGAATAATTGAGCTGGAAGACAAAATGGTGGAAATAACTGCCGAGGAGCAGAATAAAGGAAAAAAAATGAAAAGAATTGAAGACAATCTCAGAGACCTCTGGGACAACATGAAACGCACCAACATTTGAATTATAGGGGTCCCAGAAGAAGAAGAGAAAAAGAAAGGGTCTGAGCAAATATATAAATTATAGTGGAAAACTTCCCTAACATGGGAAAGGAAATAGTCACCCAAGTCCAGGAAGGACAGAGAGTCCCATACAGGATAAACCCTAGGAAAAACATACCAAGACACATATTAATCAAACTAACAAAAATTAAATTCAAAGAAAAAGCATTAAAAGC